GGCAGGAAGACAAAGGGGCCTTTGTACAGCTCCTGCGGACGGAAGTGATTTCCGAGTGTATGGACAGCCACCCACAATCGCTGGGGTTCCCCATCCCTGCACATAGGTGGCTGTGAGCGGGGAAGAGCACTGTTGCCTTTTGCAAACCATCCATGACTGAATAAGCCCGCTCGGAAGCAGAAGCTGGAGTTCCGGTGGGCTGAGCACTTCCTGCCCTACTGACCACGCCAGCCCAGGACTGACAACGCCCCTTACACACACACACACACACACACACACACAGTCCACAACCGCAGCAAATCACCCATCACCTCCATTGTAGTGCCACCTTTCCTCACTTAGAGCTTCCCGAGAAAATAAATGCCATTTAACGTGAAAAGCACAGGCTCAACTTCAGTAAAGCAGGGAAAATACAGAACTATAAAAGACTCAACTTTTAAAAGTTTTCAACCAAAACACTCTTTGGAAAAAAGAAAAAAGTGTATTCAATATAATGCCTGTTTCAGTTGTGTTGAGAAGGGACACCATGTGTGAGCTATTAAGGGTAAACGTTGTCCTGAGTGAAACATTCGAAGCCACATATGGTACTTTAAAGCAAGTGACTATCACGTAGTTTAAGTGTCTGTCTCTGTTGAGTGGCCTGATGACTGTAGCGTTCTGTCCCAACCTCCCACTCCTGTGGAACTTAAACCACCTTTGGCTCTGAATATAGTTTAACGTTCTCCCTCTCCTAACCGGTCACCACCTCAGGCTTGTAACTTTTCACAGATGTGAAAAGTATTAAAATCTTAGGCTGCAGCAAAACTACGAGCGCGTAAGGACCTCTCCGCTCTGGCCCACATGCAATTCTCTGCCTGTGAGTGAGTAGCATCTATCCTGCAAGGCCTGACTGTCGAAGGCTGGGGAAGGGGGTGCTAAGTTGGGTGTGAGAACCCAGATCCCAGTTCTGGACCCTCCGTCTGCTACCAGCATCACAAACTCCAGGTCTCTCTCTTGGTGTCTCTGGAAACGGCAGGCCCTGCTTGGCATTGTCACACCACACGCAGAGCACTCAGAGGCATGTTCCGGCACATGCTCAGGGCGTGTCCACAATCATTTTTACTCACATCACCTCTCATCCACATGGAATATTTGCACTCTGAATGTTTCCATGGCAACTTAACTTGCCGATTTCCAGGTTCTTAACCCACTATTTTCTTTAAAAACAAACAAACAAACAAAAAACCAAAAAGTTGTTTACAGACTAGAATGTTCATGCTTAGGACTCTATTAGCATAAATACATTCTAACTTGTTCTTCATTTATCTCCCTAGGTGTTTGTATGCTTGGTTTTTGAAAATTGTTCTGTGATTCCAATGCCTTTGGTGAGTCCAGTGCGTAGTACAGGCACATGAAGAGAGTGGGCCATGTCAGTGTTTTTAGGTACTGTTACTCAGAGTCATGTGTCTTCCTGCATAGTGAAGAAACAGTGAAGATGGGGCATAAAAGACCCTAAATCCTACTATATCAAAAGTATACATGTGAATTTTGAAATTAAAAATTGTTTTACCATCTAAGAATTAACAACAAACAAAACAGCACAAAACCAAACCTGTTCTGACTGACCTAAACAGTATCTTCCTAGAGAAGGTGGCCTCAGGGGCTGGAGAGGTGGCTCAATCAGTAAAGCACTTGCCTTGGAGGTGTGAGGCCCTCAGTTTAGAGTCTTGGTTCACACATAAAAAGACAGGTTCAGCAGTGTGCCCCTGTTGGAGCTAGAGTCAGGTAGATTCACTGAGGCTCAAAGATCAGCTAGCCTGTTTCACTCAGGACAAAATTTCAGGCCAGGGAGAGACCCTGTCTCGTACTAAAGATGGAGGGGGCCTCAGGACTGATACACAAACATTGACACATGCACACTCACACACACAACAAGGGAAAAAAGAAGATTTCAAAGTAATAAATTTATATAAAATAAAACTCACTTGTATGCTGAAAGCCTTTATTTACAGCCTGAGTGCTGGAAGTTTTCATTACTTAGAGCAATAGAAACTGATCAGGATGGGAAGAGGTTGATCAATGGGTGCTAAGTAACGGTCACGTGACCGCAGGGTTATCCAGAGCCATGCACAGTAGGTGACAAATGTGTACTGTATATGTCAGAAAGGGAGACAAAGGGACTTCACAACTTCCACAATGGAAGAATGATGAATGTTTGAGGAGACTCTTTGTTTATTCTGATCTAAACATCCCACAATGCATGAATATATCAAAATCTTACACAGCGTCCCATGAATTTGTAATTTTTATGTGTCAGTTAAAATAAACCTAAGAATATCTTTCACACAAAATAAGCATACCACAATGTATATTATATCTACATGCACACAAATTTAAATCACCTAGCATTCATATCAGAATGCTAAAAATTAATTTTTATAAATGATAATATATTGCATTTAGTCTGATGGGCTTGAAATATCATTTTAAATGTAACCAATGTAAAACAGAAAGCATTGGTAGATTTTGCTATTCTTCCTGTTTCATTTTTTTAATTCAGTGTGTATTTTGTTTGTATTTGGTTGTATTTCATTTTACAAGATTTATTTCTGTTTATGTGTGTATACCAACTGTTTGCCAGTGGAGGCTAGAGGAGGATGCCAGTCCCCTGGAGTTGGGGCCAGTTGTAAGCTGCCCACCACGTGTGCTAAGAACAAAACTCAGGTCCTCTTGCAAGAGCCACATGTGCTCTCAACTGCTGAGCCATCTCTCTGGCCCCAGAGTGTATTTTGTTCTTAAGCTCATGTCAGTTTAAACAATCCATGTTCAGGTGCCCATACCACACGAGAGTATCTGATTTCTCCCCTTTGACCCAAGCATTAGGAGCTCTTCAGAGAGAGAGGCAGACAGACAGAGCTACAGAGAGACAGAGAGAAAGAAACAGAGAGAAAGAGACAGAGAAAGACAGAGAAATACACAGAGAGAGACAGAGACAGAAAGACAGGACTAGAAAAAGAAAGAAAGAGACAGACATGAGAAAGAGAGGAGAGACAGGGAGAGTGAGAGAGAAGAGAGAGAGAATGTTTCAAGTTTCCACAGGAACCATAGAGTGCAGAACACTCTCCATCCCTGGATTCACATGAGTTGTGGGGTAAAAGCACATTTCAGCGTATTTTTTTTTAATCCTTCAACAAACTGAGAAAGAAGACCTGGTCTACATTTGGCAGAAGGCCGAGTTCTGAGACACACAGTGCAAGCCGCTGAGGATTTCAGTGCTAAATGGAAAGGAGAGTGATGGCTCTCGGCACTGAGGCGATGCTTGGCATCTTAGCATTCATCTCTTCCCTGTGCTCCTGGGAGTGCTGAGATGTCTTGCAAGCAGGGGTCCTCCAAGGAGTCATATGGGGATATGGAGTCGCAGGTGTGGTGTGCTCCAAGGCCCAGAGCCCTCTCACCAGGACCCTCAAAAAGCTCCTTGTGTTTAACCAGTTTGTTCCAGACATTGTTCCTGATTCTCTGCAGCAAAGTCACTCTGGTCCTGCCACTAAGTCCCCTATTTCTAAGCCAAATCAATGGTAATCTGCTGTTCATGCGGCTATCTTGGACCATCCATCTCCCAGTGAGTCCCAAACAAATTGCACTCAGTGCTGTCTGGGGTCTGCCTGCTACTGGCTTCTGTCTCACAGGAACTTGGAGCCGAATGAAATTGGAATGACACTGGAACAAAGGCACCAGTCCCATTTATGAGGGCTCCATGCTCACAGCTCAGTCATCAACGGCCCCTACCTCTGAATGCCACCAACCTGGTGATCAGATTTCAAAGCACACAGTTTGGGGCATCCATTCAGATCATAGGAACAACTAGATGAGGGAAGGGTGATATGACAGAATGTGGAGTCACCACTCTCAACCCTTTACCCAGACTGCGTTAAAACTGCATTAACCTAGTAAGTCTTTTCTTCAGCTGGAAATCTGCAGAAAACTCTGTAAACCAGTACACCAAGTGTTAAAACTTTTAATTGAAGTTTAGGAGAGCATCGCTGGTTGAATGTATTACGGCACCAGGCTTTCCACACATTTCTCTTCACTTCACCTTCACAACTGCCCAGCTTTCCAGAAGCTGGGGTCATGGGAATAATTGCCCAACATCACGTGGGCTGAGAGCGGACAGCCCGGACTTCCTTGCCTCTTAGCAAGGGGTGGGGGGACTCACAAAAGGAGGGGAAAAAGAAAAATGGCAAATAAAATCTTTCGGGGTGGGGGAGGGGTGCTATTTCCAAAACAGTGCAGACAAGAGTCATGATTTGATAGAAAGCTGTAACTGACGCGTTTGAAGAAAACCAGACTTGCCTCTTGCTGTGTTAAAGTTGACAAGGGTGTGCACGAAACCTCCCAGTGTGCTTTCCTGGCCGTTTCCTTTTCGCAGTTTGCGTGCACAGATTAGGGATACTGAGGTTGCTGAGATTCTTAGGCAGAAAGGGTGGTTGTCCCCGAGCCTGTGTCTGATCCCTGCAACTCATGTGGTGTAAAGAAAGAACCGACTCCTTTTTTTAAGTTCTCTTCTGACGCCCACACGCTGCCCGTGGCTCGGACTCCTCCACACAAACGTGCACACAACAAAACAAATGCGAAAAATAAGAGATGTGACTCCAAGGGCCAGCAAGACCCCTCCTTCCGCTACGCTGCCCTTCGGCCCTCCCTCCCACCGCATTCCGTTTTTATCTTGGCCCTCACAATCCCACTAATCCAGGGAACTGCGACACGGACGGCATCGTTCCTAAATGATGGTCCTCGTTTCTAAACAGCACCTTTGTTTCCTGACTTCCAGCCAGCTCATCAAAGCCCCGGGTGCACTGAGGCCTTCAAAGACTGGATGGCGCCAGAATGCATTGTGAAGTGGCTGGAGCGTCATAGGCCAAGTGAATCCCAGGATCGAGCTTGGGGTTGGTGTCGGCAGTGGACCCCTGGAGTTCCCCACCCTCCGACCTTCGTGTAGACTCTGGGCCCGCCGGGAAGGGAGCATGGCCGGTTTCCATGTCTTCTCTCCACGGCCCTATGGGGAACTCAGGGAACCCTGGCTCGGCGAAGAACCGGAGTTAGAGGCCCAGCTGGGCTGGCCTGAGCCGCCTCTAAGCTCCTGGACCCGGACCCCCAGTGTCGAGACCCAGACCAGAGCACCCTGGGTGCCCTCGAAGTGTTTGCCCACCGGACGGTCCCGCCGGCGCGGGGATATGCCCTCGCCTCGAGAAAGCCACAGCCTGACACATGTGGCCCAGAGACCGTCGGACAGAGCCAAGAAGCACAGGTCCGGCAGCGGGTACCTGGAAGAAGCTTTCGGAGAGACATCGACCAAGCCCAGCAGGAACTGGCAGCAGCAGCCTGACCAGCCCTGCCCGCGCTACCGTGTGGCCCGGGGAGGTTCGCCCCGGCAGAGCCCCAGGGAAGCTTTCAACCGCCAGAATATTGGAACTTTGCCTGCAGAGAAGACACCGAGTGCAGACCGGTGGGCGGTACCGGAGGGCAGACCTGTAGACCTCTGCTCGCCTCCCTCGGTTCTCACGGACAAATCCTCTGTGCCCTCCTTGCTGGAGTTTCAGAAGCAGCCCTGTGTGTGCTCCCACAAGAGGGGTAGTGGCGACCGGATCGAGACCTTAGCCAACCAGTACAGCCGGCCATCTGCCTCCTTCAAAGAGCTGAGTAGCCAGCCCTCCCGGGTCCTCAAGAGCAAGCTGGACGAGGCGGTGATTTCTTCCAGGGACCAGAAGATCATAGCCCTGGTGCTGAGCCGGCTCAGGAAGGCCCAGAGGATCCGAGAGCTGCAGCAGCAGGCAGCAGTCGCCTGGGAAGAGCTGAAGCTCTCAGACCAGGAAGTCCACATGACCCTGGAGAGAGAGTGCAGGCTGTTACTGCAACAGAGCCAGGAACAGTGGCAAGGACAGGAGGAACTGCACAAGCCTGGCGGGGGCCAGGAGCAGCCTCGGCAGGGCCATGAACAACCGGGTTCGTGGCAGGACTGCCAGGCAAAGAACGCGGTGCAGACGGAAAGTAAGACTCAGTGGACGGTGCGACCTGACCACCAGGAGAACCCAGACCTGGACAAGCTGGACAGGGTGCAAGCACAGGCTGAGCACCTCAAGCAGTGTCAAGAGCAGCGTCTGCGGGAGCAGGAGAAGATGCTGCAGAGTCTGCGGGACTTGAACAGGATGCAGATGGAGAAGAGACTGCAGGCGGCCTGTTGCAAAAGGCAGCAGCATATGGCGGAGGAGGTGGGGAACGAAAAGAAGGTCCAGGAGAGCAATCTGAGCTCACTCATCAACTTCCAGGCCCGCAGGGTTCTCATGGACTGCCAGGCCAAAGCGGAGGAGCTCCTCAGGAAGCTGTCGCTGGAGCAGCGTGGCCAGCGCTTCCAGGACATCCAAGAGAGTCTGGTTAGGGAGAGGCACCAAGAGCAGCAGGAAAAGGCCCAGAGTGAGGAGGAGCAGTTCCAGAGAGCGGGGTGGTGGCCTGCAGAGGAGGCAGAGGAGGAGAGCAAGCGGGTTCTGGCAGAGCTGGCTCAACAGAAGATCAGACAGACCAGGAGTCATGCACAGAAGACCACCAAGGACAGGGCGCACCACCTGAGGGAGCTAAACATCCTGAGGGAGAAGAACCATCACATCACGAAGCTGAAAGCGGAGAAGGAGGAGAAGAGTCACATTGAGGGCATCAAAGAAGCCATCAAGAAGAAGGAACAAAGGGTCGAGCAGATGACCCCGAGGAAAGATCCCATCTTCCAGGAGTACCAGAAGGTTTCCCCAACCTCCAAGACAAACCATTGCTTTGATCCGATGGCAGCGGAGGCCTACCTGCTCTAGCACCCGCAGAGTGCAGTCCACTGAGAACCCAGGAGGAAGCAGGCACAGCCTGGCAGCCAGACAGAGAGACACTTCACCATGCAATTCCGTTTTATAATCTGATTTCAGCCAACCACTGATTTTTTTCAAAAGTATATAAAATAGCTGCAATTTCCTCCCAAGCATTAGTTTGTTGATTCACTTGGATGGTGTAGATGGGATTGGGGAGAGAAAATGGGAGGCAAGTATGAAAATCGTGTGGCTTCCTGGGCTTTGAGGTGAAATAGAAAACATTTGTTCAAATGCCTTTCAAGGAGTCTAGAAGCGCACGTTAGGCAGGAAACAGAGGAGCCAGAGAAGAACGTACTACTGGGAATAGAGGTTTATGGTATGACTTGGGAAGTCTTATCCTACTCCACAACTTGAGCAAGGTGAAATGTGGAGTGTGAAGCCTGAGGAGTCTGCAAAGGAAAAAGCAAAGGTAGGCTAGAGGCTTTCAAAGCAAGTAGATTTGAGAATCTTGTGTAGTTCTCCTTTCTCAAGAGCTCATGGCACATTTTAAAACTTAAAAGCCTACGGTATAGAAGCTCATTTAACCTAGTGCTTGTCACAAACTGCCACCCTCTGCTCTCTCTCCCTTTCTCAGATCCATGGAACACATTGACGCTCTGTGATAAAATGCTTTTATCTTATAAATGGCTCCATACTTCCTCCTAGGCTGAGGGGTCTCCGGACACCCCACTTGTGGAATAAGAAGTGTTTATAACACACCAGGACTGTCTCTACTGTCCCACTGCCACCATCAGTCATGGCGTCTAAGAGCTCAGTGAAACCCAGCCGGCGCACACCTGTAGCACCAGCACAGCAGGCCAGCCTGGGCTATACACAATAAGGCGCCATCTTGAAAAGAAATCAACCACTAGATTAAATGTAGTTCTTCCTTGGGGAGGGGGGTGTTCCTATCCAGCATTACACATTCAGATTCTATTGGCATTTTCTTCTCCCCCTCTTACTTCTCCTCCGTCTCTTGGAAGGAGGCACCTGATGTCATCTTGTCTACCCACACTGTGCCTAATTAGCTTAACTAGGTTTTGAATGAGTGACTAAGCATGACTCAGTAGTGTGACTTTTAAGGAGAAGGAGCCAGCAGCACTAGAAATGAACCCAACTATCTCTCAGCTTCTGCTGAAAAAAAAAAAGCGTGATGTAGATTTTTTTTTAAGATTCTCATTATTGTTGTATTATGTGGGTGGGGCAAGGTCACAGTGCCTGTGTGGAGGTCGGAGGACACCTGCACGTGAGCTCCATGGATATGGCGCAGGTCGTCTGGCTTCTGTGGTTGAGTTGAAAGCCTCTTCATAGGCTAAGCCGACTCACCAGCGCTGTGGTGGGATCTGTGTGGAACTCAGAGGGAGAAGGATAGAAAGCGTCTCGAGAGGATTTTGTCTCGTTAATGTCCCTGAGATAGTGTCAAACATAACTGGACTGGAATTCTGTGCAGAGCTCAGAAGCCAATGCCATTCTGCCTACACAATGGAAATCTGCCCGTGTCCCCACCCTGCTTTCTTTCTCTGTCCTCCGTCCCCTCTACGGCTGTCCGTAAACAGGCCTGCTAAAGCACCTCATTTCTTCACTCACATGTGCTCCTAGTGAACCCTCCTCAAAAAGGTGAGCACTCATGGATCAGGCCTCAGTTTTCAAATACTCTTCATGTGCAAGCTAGTCCCATGTTCTAGCCTCAGCAGAGTGCTATCTGGATACTCTGGGGTGATACTGAAGACATTTCAGACCAGCCTTGACATGAATTTAGGGTTTCCTGTCTGTCTTAGTTTCCTTGTCTATAAAGTCGGGAGTAACTCATACTTCTCAGGCACTGCTGTAAGCTTTACAGTGTAAGAGATAATTAGATAAAATTATCCATGCAAGGTGTTTGACAAAGTAACCTAATGTTCTGAACTCAGTACTATGGCTCTGAGTGTTAATATTGACAGTTGCCATTGCCACCGTACCCTCATCCCCACCTACACAGCTTGATGCCTTCTCACCAGCTGTCTCCTCCCACCGGGAGGACCAGTTTGGTCTTCCTGAGCACAGTAGCCATGCTCTGTAAGAAGGATCCATTTTTTTCAGTTTAATCTTGGTGTCTGTGGTGGTTTGAATAGAAATGGCTCCCATAGACTCATGTCCCTGGCCCACAGGGAGTGGCACTATTAGGAGGTGTGGCCTTGCTGATTCTGGCTAGTGTGTCATCAGTCCCCTTCTGCTGCCTATGGATCAAGGTGTAGAACTCTTGGCTCCTCCAGCAACATGTCTGACTGCACACTGCCATGTTTCCTTCCATGATAAAGATAGACTAAACCTCTGAAACTGTAAGCCAGCCCCAACTGAATGATTTCTTTTATAAGAGTCGCCATGGTCATGGTGTCTCTTCAGAGCAATAAAACCCAAACTAAGACAACTTCCTAACTTGGACTATATGTTATCTGAAGCCATCTAGGGCCAGTGCCTTATACTTCTTTATGCTCATGGTAAATGAGCATGGTAGTTGATTCGCTGCCCAAATAAAAAACAGCAAGTGGGATGTTTTCACTTCGCAGCCAGATCCCACCTTGTTCTTTGTTCCAAGAAATAAAGATAGACTCATTCCTTTATCTAACATTTGTGGAAATGACTGACCAAAATAATCTATACAAAATAAAGCTGGCAGACGTAAAGGAGGCTTCCCCATCTTTTAAGTACAACTAAAACCCCTAAATGTTCCATATGAGACAAACATGAGGGAAGTCTACAAGGACGCAGCCTGACCCTACACTTCAGGAGCCAAAATAAACCCACACAATAAACCCTGAGGTCCTTGAATTTTCATTTTTGCCTCATGTATTCCGACCTGTAAGTTGAAGAAATCCTAAAGTATGAACAATTAGCACAGGCTGGTATCTCGAACCCAAGCCCTAGAACTACTGGCTCCAGCCAAACTCCACAGGCAAACCTGTGGCTTTACCTTTGCCCATGCTGGCCAAGACTGAACAGGGAAATGGAATTCTTCCCTTTCCAGGCTGTGTAAAAAGGCACTTTCCCCTGTCCTGGCAATGCTGGCAGAAACTGCACAGCAGCCTGGACTCCTAACTACTTCATACATCTCTCCAGATGCCCACCAAGTGGTATATCACAGGAAGCCTGACAGCAAAAAACTCTCATCGACATCCAGCCAGAACAAGACCATACATGCCATCCCTCACACATCCACCTTGCCACCAGGGAAACGCGGAGGTCCTCCTTCTTCTCCCAGTCTTCAGCAGTATCTGTTAAGAGTGTAGACAAGGACCAAGGCTCCCATCCTCACCCAGTAATAAGGGAGCTCTACCCCCTTCAGTTGACAATGGCTAAGTGGGAAAGTGTGAGTTTTTACTCCTGGTCCTCAGTATAAGGCAGTGATATTTATTTCCTGGGGGAATATCAGAAAAAGTCAGATACATAGGGCATTGTATATAAGGTCCAACAAGTCTTTTTAACTATGCAAATTTTCTAGGTTTTTATTAAAAATCACTCAACCAAGGACCAAGACTATCTCAAACTGAATGAGAAAGAGTCTACATGTGCCAAAAGCAATGTTGGGGTCATCTAAAACCCATTTATAAGCAGCTATAATAATAACAACAATAACAAAAAGGTCACAAGTGATTCTGGGCACGCTAAAAGCCTCAGCAAAAACATAAAAAGTACAGAGAAGAACCAAGTGTGAAAAATGGAAGTGGAAAATGAACTATACAACCTAAAAGCTCTAAGGAGGCAAAAGATGAGAAGGACTTTTCGATGCAAACCTGGCGACCTGCATTCAATCCATAGAACCCACATGATGGAAGAAAAGGACAGATGGCACAAAAATCAAAAGAGCAGAGGGATGACTTCATCAGCGGAACAAAAGGAACAGCAAGAGGAAGGTGTGGCTGAGACAAAATAACAGAAAAGAGCAACTGTGGGAATAAGAGAAAAATTCATTTTTAAAAAGAAGAGCCTCCTGCAATTGCTGGACTATGACTAAAGAGCCAACATTCATGGCATGGGAATCTCAGGAGGAATGCAGAAAAGAAACCAGCTTGGAAAGGCATTCCAGGAACTAACAGCCCAAATATTTCAAATATAGTGAAGAAGTTATGCAAGAGTAGGGAGACAGAGACAGGAGACTTCCGGGCTTGCCATTCTGACAATGTAGCTGATAGGTTCAGTGAGACATCTGGTCTACCACGTGTAGAAGTGAAGAGTAGTCAAAGAAGTACTTGACATTAACCTCTGTTGTTCACATGCTTGTGCATGCAAACATGTATACACACATATGCCATATACTCACCCTCAAGGAGCCCCCCAAATCCCAAGTTCTTCTCTACAAGAAACACATCTCACTGGCAAAGGCATACCCAGACTGTGAATGAATGGAAATCAATACACGAAACAATGGGAGCCAAGAACAAGCAAAAATAGCCATACTTAGCAGTTAATGGAGCAGGTTTCAAGCCAAAATTAGAAGAGATTAAAAAAAAAGTCACTACAAGTTACTAATGGAAACAATCCATCAGAAAGATATAACAATTGTAAAGGCATATGAATCAAATGTTGGAGAATCAATTTCATAAAAAAATTCACATAAAGGGTCCAAAATACCCAGACAATAATTTCTGAAATTTTAATATCCTATTGTTATCAGCAGACTGGACATCCAGACTAAAAGACACCTCAGAAAATACACCACAGATCAAATGGGCAAGAGACATCCACAGAACATTTATATCCTCAGCAGCCCATGGAACTAACCTTAAAGCAATGCTGTAGCTATAAAATAACAATTAAGATGATATTTTAGACTTTTTACATCATATTAGAATAAAGGTGTCAGTCAATGGCAACAAGGAACTTACAGCCACTCCACACACACATGGAGAGTGAGCAATGAGCTCTTGAATAATCAAAGGATCACTGAGGAAAATTTTAAATTTCTGGAATAAAATAAACAACAGAACTTTGGG